CAATCAAGGAGGTTGTACTCACGCTGAATCGTCTTTGATTGGCTGCCCATAACGCAGTAAACTCCTTTGATATGCCCCCTCCCCCTTCCCCTAATCCACTTCGTATCCAACTACCTATCCTCACAGAGCCCCGCATTTATACCCACCAGGGAGAAAAGAAATGGGCACTGGATAGTTGGTGAAAAAGGACAAATGCGTATCGACTGGTTCTACTGCGCCTAGGTAGAGGATCGTTTCAAATGGTATGGTCCACATAGGATCCCCACAAAGAGGGGTTTGTATTTGGTCGCTGAGTGAGGGGGTCACATGTGGTACTGGAGGGAGGTGGTTATAGTTCGTCACTGGAGGGGGAATAGCCATATTTGCTCATGTGGCAAATGTTTTCGGTTGTTGACCTTCGCTCGATTTTTCCCGTTTCACGTGCACTTTATATGTCTGCCCGCTCAGCGTCAGGTGCTTGGAGAAAAACAATACTGGAGAATTCCGAGAAAATTCTGAAAAGTACCTGGTGGGATGGCCAGGGGGATCGTATCAGAGGAGGAATACTCGAGGGGGGGGGGGCAGGGTCGTGCTTTGGGAAGCAACGGCAGAAGTGGCATCTTTGCGCAGCCGCTAGAAGAATTGAAGTATCTGAGAATCCACGGAAAGGAATGGATACAAGCTGATTTTTTTTCAATGAGCATATCGGAGCATTCGCGGACTTTCTAATCCTTCAGTTGAAATAATAAGTTCTTTTTTCCTCTTTTGAGAGTTCATCCTAGCACTGCAATTTTCTCTCTCTAGGGTAAGCCATATTAAAGAAATCAATATATAATCAATATACGTGTTTTCCATGATTTCAGATGGACGCCCGTGATCCGAAAAATAGCGAGCTGATCAAACAACGTGTGAAAGTGGTTCCTGCTACGATCCTCTTTCTGGGAGATATGAATGGTATCATTTACAATGAGGAGCGTACTGCGCCCACTGTTTGGCAATTCTATCGGGTTCGTTTTCACTTAGTACACTTCATGTTTTGGAAGCTGTGAGGGCGTGGCCGCTTTCTTCATTCAAAGCTGGCGTCAATATTTTCGTTCTGAAACAATTGCCATCATGCCTTCCGCAGCCAGGCCCTGCTCATCGTCGCGATATGGAGCATGGTTTGACAAATTTTGGTCTTGAAAAAGCCCTAAGACGCTGTAAACCTTGGATTAGGACTGTGACAAGATTGCATACTTGTAATGTACTCTGTTTTCAACTGGCAGAACGTTTATCCATTAATTCGAAATATCATTCAAAAGCTATTACAATACTGAGTGGGATTCCAATGCGTGGCGCCTTCTGCAAAGAGATTGGTCAAAAGTTTCCTTTTCAACTAGAACGACGTAAGAAAAATATAACACTCTTCAACTTCTACTGTAGTTTTTTGAAACTTAGACCATGTTTAGAATGAGATTTGCCTGCGGGTTAGATTATCCTTTGAACATCAATATTACATCGTTTGGCACAAAAACCCAAAGCCTGCCCTCTACAAACGCCGTTACCCATAAGGAACAAAACAGCTGGCGCTAGTCCCGAATGGATACGATGTTCGTATTGAGGGGTCAACCTCATAATGGTGAGAAACTGTTCATGAAATCGAGATTCTGATCGAATTGAACAGTGGGTTGGTACAGGGCAAACAATGTTCAGCATCGTGATGTGTGAAATGGTAGTGTGGGTACGACCTCCCCCCCCACACACAAATGAGGGTCTCGCTACAACCCCCCCCCCTTCCCCAAACACCTACCTA